GCCTCACTGAGTAAGTGAAGAAATGATCAGAGTGGTGGTATTTCACCAACAGCCAGGTGGCCCTGCCATGCCAAGCACGCACCCAGCCTCCCACTTATTCTACACCTCTCGCATCTCTTAACAGTGCCAGACTGGGGTCAAGCTCAACAGGGTCTCCTGCCCTCACTGATTCTGCTGAGCCCGGTCCCTGGGCTGTGGTTTCGCTGTTAGGGACAGCGGGAACCTCGTTCATTCACGCACCTGTGTCACTCATCGGGTGACAAGGCGTTTGGCTGTTTATCAAACACATATAGAATTATACACCTTCCTTTTCCCCATTAGGGCAAGGTGGCCTCACCCACCTTGGTAGAACCTGGTGGTTGATGTCAATGTGATGAATCTGGGGGACACGTTATCAAACTGTAGGTCCCTGTGGACCATCCGCCCTACACTGGTTGTTCACCCGCTCTCAGGCTCTTGTCTCCACCATGCCCCTCAGGGTCCAGCTCTCACCCTTTAATAAAGTTGATTAAATTCAATCACGATTACAACCACAAACGATTACACCCATAGCGACAAGCATTCAACAGCCCGTGCTTTACGGACAAACAACATCCACAGATGAGAACAGCGCCCTGTTCAACAGGCGGCGGGTGGCCTTTGCTTGTTGGGAACCAGGGAGTCTAAGTTCTTCTGATGCTTCACAGTTGTCCTGATGCCATTTTCCATGTGCACTGAGTGGAAACCCCATAAATGGCACGGTGGTGGCACTGGTTCGTTCTTCTGCTTTGTCTTTTAGATGTTTTGAATCTCTGTGCTTGCTCAAAAGTCCTGTGGGGATGCTCCGACCCCAAACATGGGGCCTCAGCTCAACATCTTCTCCCCAGGTGCCAAGGTTCCCTCATTTTAATGCATTCTGTGATGTCATATCCTTTCTGCTGCTTCACAGCCTGATCCTTACGCCTGCCTTTACCCCACACATGCCGCCCCCTCCTCCAAAAGATACAAACAACCAATAGGAACACCAGGACCAATATCGCGGCACCAGTGGCTTATCAGGCCACCAATGGCATGCTGTGGCAGGGGGCTGTGGGTTGGAAGGGCCGAAGAAAGCAGCAACAGCCTCTAGAAATCCAAATTTTCCACTTTTTTCTCCTGGTCATCCTATGGTTGGTGTCTGAGATGTTTTTCTCCACCATTGGTGGTGAAGATGCCCCAAGTTTTGCTACGTTATCCCACTCCCCCCCTCCCAAAAGAAGAGTCTCCAGAGCAGGAGACTTCACAGCCCCCCTGGGCAGCCTGGGCCAGGGCTCTGTCACCCTCAAAGTAAAGAAGTTCTTCCTTGTGTTCAACTGGAACCTCTTCTGCTTCAGTTTGTGCCCATTTCCCCTTGTCCTGTCACTGGACACCACTGAGAAGTGTCTGGCTCTATCCTCATGGCATCCACCCTTAAGATGTTTGTAAGTGTTGATGAGATCCCCTCTCAGCCTTCTCTTCTCCAGGCTAAACAAGCCCAGCTCCCTCAGCCTTTCCTCATAGGGGAGATGCTCCAGTCCCCTCATCATCTTTGTAGCCCTCTGGACTCTCTCCAGGAGCTCCTCATCCTTCTTGAACTGGGAAGCCCAGAACTGGACACAGTGCTCCAGGTGGGGTCTCACCGGGGCAGACCAGAGGGGGAGGAGAACCTTTCAAAAAGGTCCAATGGATGAGCTGGAGAACCAAGGGTTGTTCAACCTTCCTTTGGTTAAGGAAGGTGTCAGCGTGTCCTTCTGGATCCCACCCCTGGTTGCCTGAAGGAGAAGGTGACTGGATTTACCCCAATTTTATTATTGCTGGGCCTATAAACTCCATCCAGGAAGAAATATACAATGCGGTGGCTTCTTGGAATAGGTTTTATGTGAGGGCTTCTGGAGAGTCTCCTTCCACATCCGGTGGATATGGTGGATAGTAAGGGTTTGGAAGAACCTGTGGAGGAACGCTGATTGCCTTTAGGCCTAGGAACTGATCCATGGAATGTTCCGGGGATAGGGCCTCCCTTTTGGTCTGTGTGGTGGTGAGATCTGAATTGTCCACGTCCATCCATTCTATTCATTTTAAGGCCCTGTTGGCATTTCCAGGTCCCAGCCCCTGCAGAGCGAATAAGCTTGGCCATGGGTTTGCTCTCCAAGCAGAGCCAGGGGTCTCCTTTCGGGGCAGCGACCAAGCCCTCTTGGTGGAGGGGCAGGATCCACCCTTTCTTCAGTGAAAATTTGTAACGTTGATGCCTGTCCTTGCACCACTGAGAAGGCAATGGGATGGGAACACAGGAGAGCTGGTGTCTGGCAGAGGAGAGGCTTGTAGCGCACATCCACCAGCTGGGCGTTTGCCTGTGCTGCTGTGGTCAGGACTGGGGCGATGGTGGCGTTATGCAATGCATGCGTACAATCTGTCCTCCAGCCCAGGCTTCTAAGCAAGGCCATGGCATTGAATGTGCTGTGGTAGCTTTAGACCAAACCAGAGCAGGTTTAGACTGAAGGTGAGGAAGAAATTCTTTACCGTGAGGGTGGTGAAACCCTGGCAGGGGTTGCCCAGAGAGGGGGTGGAAGCCCCACCCCTGGAAACATTCCAGGTCAGGTTGGACAGGGCTGTGGGCAACCTGATCTAGTTAAAGGTGTCCCTGATCACTGCAGGGGGTGGGGCTGGGTGACCTCTCAGGGTCCCTTCCAACCCAAACCATTCCACGATTCTTTGATTAAAACGTCAGCTTCCAGATGACCATGATCACGAAGAACAAAGGGACTCAAATAGCAGAAGCAGCTTCTCCCTTGGATAAAGAGGGCAGCAGTGAAACCAGAAGGGTTCCCTGACTCCAGGACTCCAAAAGGCTTTTAAAGATCTCAACCCAGCAGTCGTGGGAGCTCCCTTGTTAGCCCTGCCAGGCAACCATGCCCCTTTTGTGTGACATTTCCATGAATGGCAAGGAATGGCTGGCGTGCCCAGAAACATCTACAAGCCGTAGTGTGTGGCTCAGCAGAACTAGAGCTCATAACCCAAGGCACGACATTATGTGCTAGGGCTGTCGATCTAAGGCATGATGTCATACACTAGTGATGTCGATCCAAGGCAAGATGTCATGTGCTAGGGATGTCGATTCAAGGCATGATGTCATGTGCTAGGGCTGTTGCAGCAGCAGCTGTGGTGATTGAGGAAGGCAGAGACCTTGTCCTGGGGCACCTCCACATGCTCATAGCTCACTCTTTACTCTTTAGTCCTCCTCTCTGGAGCTCAGGCCGCTGTGGATGTGCCCCGGTGGGGAAGTCCCTTGGTTTATGGCCATAACCACGAACGGTTGTTGGCTTCTGTGATGGGACTTGGCAGGACAATGGTGCCTCTGACTGGAGCAGCTCAGTCAAGCTTCTGAGGTTGGGATGATTCACGATAGACCGGCCTTAAGGGTTGCTTCATGTGCCCAGTGAGAAGGAAGCGTGTCCATGAGCAGGGCAGAGAGAGGAGCTGTGCTGAGACCCCATACCCGTGAGTGGGGCAGACAGAGGAGCTGTGCTAGAAGAAACCAGTTTTGTGTCAGTAAGAAATATGCAAATAGGGCGGCGATGGCCTGAGCACACCCAAAGCCTGAGTTCAACGGGTGGATGCAGTGAGGAAGATAATCAACGCCCACCAGAGGACCCTGGAAGACCACCGGTGGACATAAATGTGCATGCTTTGAGTACCTTTGCATATATTAATGAGTTCCAGGAATAGTCTATCATAATT